TAATCTCTAGCTATAGCTTCCATGTTCAATACGTCCTTTACTCCTAAATTTCTTGGCCTTTGTGATATTATTCCTGAAGCCATCCACATATCAATAAGTTCTTAAATATTGAATTTGTGCTTTGGATGAAATAAGTTGTAATACCTAAAAAAATGCACTTCTAGAGGAAGATTCAAATAGCTAAGACGAAGAACCTCTAGGACACATGGTATAGCAATGTCCTATAAAATTGTGGGTTTAGGAGCACTCACTGTGATCCATCTTACTTCATAGATGTTCTCCAAGTGTTGTTACCATTAGTGGACAACTATTTAGCTTTTTTACAATCTCCTCACTCATGAGATGAAATCTTTGGGCATCATAAACATTGACCATTGGAAATGCACATGATTTAAACACATCTAACATATGTTTTTTTCTTAAACCATCCAAATATAGCTCTATGCAATACTTTTTGTGTCTCTTCAGTACATATTCAATAGAAAGAATAACAGATTTCATCCTTGTGTAATCATAATTTGACTTCCAACATAAGATTCATACAAAGGATACAAAAACCGCTGCTACTTATGATGATCTTTCATTTCTTCCCATGTATCATCTAAAATTAGCAAAAAAACCTTTTGGATACCAATAACCTTTTAATCATATTTTGAAGTACATATATGAATTCAGTAGCAAGTACCTATTTGGTGAGAGATTCTATAATCTTTTTCATCAATCTTAGAGGATCAAAATGCCTTGATACATGTATCAAACAATACTATCGAAATGCATCAACACCCTCTCATCATGGCATGCATATTGAGCAAGAGTAGTCTTTCCCACACCACCAACATCAGTTATTGCAATAGCAAGGACATCGTGATGAGCAAATAAACTGGTGGTTAGCCATTGGATTAATTATTCTTTTACAGTGTCTCTGCCAAACACCTTATCAAAACCATTGACTAGTCTCATGTAATAACTTTTGGTCATAAAGAGAATCCTTGGACCTTTTCATGTTGCCCACATGAGAAAGAAAGTTTGCCACACCATTAGATACTAAATCTAACCCCCACCGTTTAGCTCTTCAACCTAGACAGGAGCTAACTTTTTTTATATTTGAGGACTGAGGTGTAGCTTAATAAAAGGGGATGATGCAGCCAAGGTTTTTCTGCATACTTTCTTCAAATTATAAAACTCTAACTCATCTAAGGCATCATCAACCTTCTCCATACTTGTTAAGCCAAAGAAATTCATCTAGTGCATGTCTATCATCATCTAGCACAACATTCAAATCAATTGCCTCAAGAATGGCTTGAAGTGTTGTTAGTCAAGAGCTCATGTACCTTTGCCTTGTCTGGTGCTGACAGACGATGGTTCAGGGACTTCATTGTGAACTATCTAATGGATGAAGTGGTAGCTATTGTCCCAATTGCTTTCCCAACAAATTCACTAGCAAAAAGAACCTCCACTCTTTAAAGTTTCAATGCAGGAACACCACCAATTGTTTTAGGTGGACATCAGGCCAAAGCCAATCGATGGAACTATAGAAGTCAAGACTTGCAAATAAAATCCAAAAGGTACCACATATGAGAAAATAAGAACCTGCTCATGAAATGTAAATAACAAGAAAGAGTAGCACAACATTGCAACAGTACATATCAAATTCAAGTCATTATATTAGTAGTGAATTCCATTTTTATAGTACAAGTAGGGATTAGATAATCTTATAGGTGTGAGTTTGTGACAACGTGGACATTCCTTTGGTCTACGAAACTTGCTAAAGGATTGAATGGTTTTTTGTCATGAAATACCAATATGAACACAACAAATCAACGAGGTAACAAATAATACAACCACTCAACCAGTACCCACATATCCTTTCTTTGGCTTCTCAACTATGGGCAATGCTTTCATTTCATTGAAAGTGCTACTACGGAACAAGGCATAAAGGATATGTCTAACATCGCTCAATCACTATCACAGCAGAAGTAACTACAAAACAAATTGAGAATGAATTCAAGATCAAGGTAGGATCCTCGTCTACTTGGTGGTGGTTTGCATAGAAGATATCTAATAATAGGTATCAAATGAGGTTTCCCCATGCTAAAGTCATTGAGGACATTGCCTTTTTCACTGAAATGAGAATGAGATTTGTGCCCTCCATGGGATTTAAAGTGGAAAAAAGGAACCCTGCTAATGGTTCTAAAGAAGCACTTGATTTTGACTCAACCAGTACCCACATATCCTTTCTTTGGCTTCTCAGAGCTATGGGCAACATCAAAATTGGTTGCTGGGATGTCACTAAAGTGCATGTCATTGTGGATGGTCTCTTAGACTTCCATTTCTATGATTACCAGTTCTAGAGAGAAGTGGTACAAGAAGGAAATACCAACCTTGTTGGAAACAAATGGATAAGGGCTGGAGGAGTTAAGCTTAAAGGAGACATTCCCTCTCCTAGAGAAACAAAGTTGGACAGTGCTAACAAGACCACAAGCATCTATGAGACATGACCCAGTAATATGACATGGTCTGGGAAAGGGAAGCAATTTGGGTAGGAGGACAATATTGTGCAAATGAAGGAAAACAAGGAAAATCTAAAAGTCGAAAGTGAAGATGAAGAAATGTTAATAGAAGATTTAATTTAGCCTGGAAATGAAAACCTGATATTTGGTGACTTCAAAATATAGAGATAAAGAAATTGTGCTGCATGCAATTTTTTTACAACTGCAACACTATTATAAGTGAATATGGCTCTAATCTTAGCAAATTCATATTTGACCCTCTAGCTGCCATTGAGGCTAATAATGCGCTCTATGCCAAGTTATATCTGGGTGGTGCACTAGCACCAGGCAAAGAAAACATATTTAGCACTAAGTATCTTATTTCGACCATATAAATTAGTTGAAATTAGACATGTTTCTATAGTGTTGTGAATAATGTGAACCACCATATATAGATTTTAAGCTACCTTTGCCCCTGTCCACAAAATGTCAATTCCTTTACAGAATTAAAGCATACCTAAAAGGCAGCAACAGTAAACCACAATTATTTTGAAAGACCACATCAGACCCTCGGAACAACTTAGCAAAATTTATGGGGATATCTAGGATAGCAAAACAAAACATAAACGAAAACTCAGCAAGCAGGACCTAGTTCTAGAGCCGAGATGACCATCCAACAAGCTGTTTAGATAACGTGAACCTGCAGGTCCCAGCAACTTGCCCAAGTCCCCAGGGCATCAAACTCTAAAGGTGGTGGTACGCCATGATTCCTTGTCGCTTCGGTTCCATGCAGAAATCCAAGCAAAGGGAGACGCATCGCTCTTACCTTGAGGAGGAGAAGGAGTTGTGGACTCGGAGAATTTTGGTGGACGCGTAGCGCAACGAACAGCGAGTTAGGCGGCTGCGACTGGGGCAGAGCCGCAGAGGCCGCCACCGCCATAGTCGGAGGGTGGGGAGGGAGTCCAATTGGGCCAGCCACAATGAAATCCTAGGTCCATCGAGTGCCGGTGGGCCGTAGCCGTTCTTCTCCATGAAAGAAAAAGAAAGGAAAAAATATATGTGACGGGAGGAGGTGTTTCACTAGAGTGGAGTTTGTTCATGAAAGCCGGAGGTCCAATGTTGACGCTCATACTCAAGCCAGAAGCTCAGTTAATTTGTCGTTAGAAGGCATGTTTGGTTCATCACTCCACCTGGTAGAGTTTTGTACTTCATACTCTGTTGAATAAAGAGATCGGCTTCTTCTAAAAAAACTATTGCGTAAGTTTAAGCCGACCAGGGGCATTCGCCAAGGAGACCGGCCTATTTCTCCTTATTTGTTCTTATTGGCAGCAGAGAGCGTTTCGTGCGTGATAAAATCTCGAATCTAATTATTGAATCTCAAGGGAATCAAGGTGGCTCCCTCTGCCCCGAAGATAAATCACCTACTCTTCACGGGTGTTGCAAGATTATTGCCAAGCTTCTGGTCGGTGGGTTAACATGGACAAATCGTCTGAAATCTTTTGTGGATATGAATAGCAACTCTCATCCTCACACAAATCATTGAACATATTTTTCAGTAACGACCCCAAGCATCGTGTACTAATGGTGATAAACTAGAAATGCCAACAAGCGGGATGTCGTGCCCAAGTAATGTCATTATAGAGGTCGCCATGCATTGTCGCCAGTTAGAATTGTACTCGATCGTTGACCTCCATCACTCGTCCTCGCCCCATTTTGCATGTAATTTTTTCATCTTTCAATAGATAATCCACACTATATATATATATATATATATATATATATATATATATATATATATATATATATATATATATATATATATATATATATATATATATATATATATATATATATATATATATATATATATATATATATAAAACTAAACCATGAAGGGTTTGGGCGTAACTGAGCTCACCTGGGCTTCGTGTTGAACATAGACGTTGTCGTGATATCCCCAGATGGAGGAGGTTGAAGCGGCATCGCCGCCCGGTGGTGGTGGCGAGACGGGGCTGGCATGAGTAGAGGCTAGCACGCGTGAGGACGATGCAGTAGCACAAGCAGGGGCACATGGTCGGTGTGGCGTGGGTGGACACAGCACAGCTAGGGAGTAAGAAGAGAGAGGTGGAGACAGAGAAGAGACGGACAAAGATGAGGGTGGTCAAGAGAGTGCCAGCATAAGAAGATATTAGGTAGAAATAACTCTCTTTTTTAAGAGACGACTAGTATTTTTAGCCGTCTGTAAATCATATTTCTAGAAATGGCTAAAAGAACGGGCCATCCCTGCCGGGAAAATTGCCAAGGGCGATTCATAAGTAGTGCTCCAAGGAGACTACATTTGTAAAGGCACTTCTTAATCGTTCACTCATCTTTGAAAACCGTTTAGTGTAAATCTTGTAGAATAGAATTATTCACGTTTTTGCAATTTAACGTCGCACATCATGCTATACAATTACACAACCAAAAATAACGCACATATGTTTTGATCCTACTACCAAAGACATGATGATCTTATTGAGGATACCATGGCTTAGCAACCAAACGTAGGATCGCCTTAAGCCTTACGGATAGCCCGTTCAGCTCCTCCATCTCCACCTTCGACGCCCCGCCGGCCGGCAGCGCCCAGTCAAAGTGGTACAGTAAGCTCGCCAGAGCCAGTTCCATGGCTGGCGCGGCGAAGCCGACCCCAGGACATCCTCTCATCCCGGCGCCGAACGGCACGAACCTGAAGTCCTGTCCAAGCAAGTAGTCCGTCTCGCCGTCGTCCGCGAACCGCTCCGGCACAAACTCGTCGGCGCGCTCCCACGTCGCGGGGTCCCGTGCGATCGCCCAGGCGTTGACGATGACGCGGGTGTGCGCCGGAACGTGGTAGCCTAGCAGCTCTGTGTCCTCCATTGTCTCGTGGGGCAGCAACAGTGGCAGCGGCGCGTGCAGTCGGAGCGTCTCCTTGATCACGCACTTGAGGTAACGCAGCTTCTCGAGGTGGTCCTCGGTGACGACGTCGCTGCCCCCGCCGCCGACGACCCCGCGGATCTCGTCTTGGACCCTGAGCATCTCCTGTGGGTGGTTGACGAGCTCCGCCATGGCCCATACCAACGTCGTGTAGGTCGTGTCCGTGGCGGCGGCAAACAAGACCTGGATGGCTACGTTGTTTACATCTCCAAATTATGATGATCGCTACATCTCCAAATTTTGATGCATATGACGTACCAGCATATTGGCCTTGATGGCTACGTTGTCAAACTTGACACCGCCGGCCTCCTCCTCCGCCTCGTTCACGTTCAGCAGCACGTCGACGAAGTCCCGATGATCGTCTTCTTCCCGCCGCCGGTTGCCATGACGCCTCTGGCGGTGGTCCGTGATGACCCGGTCGAGCAAGGCGCCCATCTCCTCGGACGTGCGCGCAGCCTTGGCATCCAACCCCATAAGAGTGTCGACCCACGCCAGCCACGGCACGAGCTCCCCCACGGTCACCGTCCCAAGCAGCTCCTCGAAGTCGGCGAACAGGTTTGCTAGCTTCTCACCCTCGCCGCCGTCGAGGCCGTAGCTCCCGTCGTCGCCGAACATGGCTCGGGAGATGACGCCGTTGGTGTAGGAGATAAGGATCGCGTTGAGGTTCACGGCGCCGGCGCCGCGGCCTCCGGCTCCGGCGCGGCGGACGCGGCCGACCATCGCGGCGGCCTCCTGCTCCCGGGCGTGGCGAAAGGAGTGCACGCGGCGCTGGCTGAGGAGGTGGAGCACGCACACGCGGCGCGCCTGGCGCCAGTACTCGCCGTAGGGGGCGAAGGCCATGTTGTCGCGGCCGTAGAGGAGGCGCTCCGCCATGCGCACCCTGGGGCGGCTCGCGAACGCCAGGTCCCGGGCCTTCATCACCTCCTGCGCCGCGGCCGCCGAGGAGGCCACCACGGTGAGCACGCGGCCCAGGCGCAGGAGCATGACGGGGCCGTACGACGCGGCCATTGATCGAAGCTTACGGTGCGGCAGGGAGCCAAGAAGGGGCAGGTGGCCGAGGAGGGGAAGCCCCGGCGGCGACGGCGGCAATCGCCGGCCATCCCTGCTGGACGGAGAACCCTTCCTCCTTGTGGCGAAGAGGAGCAGGGAGAGGAGAGCAACCAGCAGCAGTGCAACAAACGGTGAGACGGCCATGTCTGGCACTGCGCCGAGCTGAGGTCAAGTGAAGCAGGACGAGGAGGTGCATGGTAATACGGCGATGCTGTTGGTACATACAAAATGCATGATTGAGGACACACCGGCATTATCCTTTTGTATGTAGTAGAGCACCCAAAATATATTATATTATATTCCACGTAGCATCAGCACAAGTTTTCCACGACACGTCATCATTAGTGGCAAAAGCTAGGCTCCAAATCAGAGCCGTCTAGAACATTGCATTTGGAAAAACTGAAAACACCACTAAAGATCAGGAGAAAATTCCTTTATTGCCATTGAAAACTTTAACAATCCCTTCGTTGCCATTCAAAATTACATATTCCCTTCGTTGCCATTGATTTTAGATTTTCCGTTCCCTCGCTGCCACCGCTGTTACAGAGGAGTCACGGCGTGACTTGGCTCCCGCGGGAGTGGGAGTAGCAGACGATGGCGGCGGGTTCCCTGCGATTATGCCTCTGGGAGTCGACGACACCGGCGTGGGCGGCTGGCTGCCGCTCCATGTCATGATCGCCGAGTCGTGTAGCCACCGCCCGACGTCGGGGTGTAGCCCGGGCTTCTGGCATTGCGCCTTGCTGCGATCGAACGGGTGTGCCGTGGCGGCCGTGCAATCGCGACGGACGCGCGCTGGCAGCCCGCCGGGATGTAGATTCAAGCGCCGTCGGCGGTGGCCTTAAGCGCAGGCGGGCGCGCGGTGAAGAAGTTGTCGGTGTAGGTGAAGTTCTCGAGGCCGGGCGAAGCAGAACTCCAGCCGCACGGCGCCCTCGAGACGGTTGCGGGCGACGCCGAGCTCCTCGGCAAAGAGCCATGTTAGCGATCTTTGGCGGGGAGCTGTCCCTGCAGTGGTTGACGCCGACGTCAAAGACGGTGAGCTTCGGAGCAGGCCGACCTGCGGCGGGGCGCATCCCGTGAGCTCGTCGGCGATGAGCACGATCTCGTTGAGCGTGTCGGCCATCCGTCCGATCTTTGGGCGGGATGCACCCGCCGAGGCGGTTGTCTTGCGAAAGCACGCACGATGGAGGCCGGGAGTTCCCGAGGTTGGCGGGATCGGGTTGCGGAGGCGGTTGGAGTTCGAGAAGATGGCGTCGGCGGGCCGTCGAAGAGCGCCGGCGATGATGCTGCCCTCGAAGTCGTTGAAGCGGAGGTCCAGTACCGCGGCCTTGGGCAACGACAAAGACCACTTCGGAACCCGCCCACAAGCGGTTGTTGCTGCCGAGGTCGAGCTCGTGGAGGTGCGCGAACGCGTGGGGCGACGCCGCGAAGCGATTGGAGTTGATGTGGAAACGGCGCCCAGTCCGGGGCGCCCAAAGAGCAGCGGCGGCGGAAGGTACCCGCGATGTCGGCGTGGTTGAGGTCGATCCCGGCGACCACGATGTCATGGGAGGTGCTGCCGGGAAGGGGTGCGCAGAAGACGCCGTTGTAGGCGCAGACGTTGGGCCCCACCCAGTTGGCGGTGAAGTTGGAAGGGTCGGAGAAGATGGCGGTGCGCTTCCACGCTGCAAATAGGCGTAGGGACGCCCGAGGCGAGGGTTCGAAACGCCACGACGGCGGCGCGTCGAAGCGGGACGCGAGAGCGAGACGCGCGACGACTCGAGAGACCCCCTCTCCTGCTAAGCCCGACGCGAGGGCGAAAGAAAACAACAACAGCCTTGAAAGGCCTTGATCGCGATCCGGCCGGAGGAGAGGCAGGGAATGCGAGCCGGACGGCAGGTCGGTCTTGTGATCTGGAGAGAGAGAGAGAGGGGGAGAGGGAAGTGGAGCGGCAAAGCGGTGGCATTCGAGAGCGGGCACTGGGGCTGGGAGGGCGTGTGTGTGTGTGATTGATGAAGGCAAGCGCAGCGCAGCTGAGCTCGCTCACACACCGAGTCGCATGGGGGCCACCAAGACAAAGAAGCTCGGGCCAGCTCATCTCGCTGATTAGTCCTCACTCATCAGTGTGTGTGTGCGCTGGGTGTGTGACGGTGGTGTCTCTTTGCGCCTGCGCCTGCGAGCTCGCTTCGTCACGGTCACGGAGGAGGCGGCCTGGGCGTGGGAGACGGCGAGCGAAGTCACGCCGTGACTCTCTGTAACAGCAGTGGCAATGAGGGAACGGAAGATCTAAAACTGATGGCAACGAAGAAAACATGTAATTTTGAATGGCAACGAAGGGATTGTTATAGTTTTCAATGGCAATGAAGGAATTTTCTCAAAGATCAGGATTTGTCCGTGGTAGCACAACACAATCTAGCAAAGCGAAACCGACAAGGTAGCAAGACTTATTGTTTTTATTTCAATTTATTCTTGAAAACAAAAATGAAAACCTGATTGTGACAGAATCGTTTCACAGACAAAATGTAACAATTAAATGCTATGGCTACCATATGAAAACTGCAAAATGAATGAAGTTGTATATTGTAGGTCTTGTTTCCCTCGTCAACCAAACCTTGCTATCTTTAGATAATGTGACACTCTAAATCATAAAATGAAACTCTTTTTCCTTAGAAGTATCATCAACAGCTCTTTTAGGATGTGTTTGGTTGCTGGAATTGCATTGGATGGGATGGAACCATCCATGGATGAGGTGTGTTTGGTTGGTGGATTACTGGATAAGGAAATCCAGATAGAGAATATTCTATACAGATGCTAGATTTCGTGGTTCGAAAAAAAACTGGCGGACCAGTTTATCCATGTCTTATAATCTTTGTCATTAGTAAATAAATTAAGGATTACTAGTATGTTATTTTAATAAAATTAATAATTATGATGGTAGGATTAGTTTTGATAAGTGCTAATATGTTGATTAGTGCATGTGTTGTGTGCTAATTAGGATATTTAGTGGTGCTAATTAATATATTTTATTTTAAATTAGTGATTATCATGACAAAATAGTATTAGTGCATATTTTTAGTGTCTAATTAGTTGTTATTATTTTTAAATAATAGATATAATTAGTCAACTATTCTCATCCCATCCACTTTCGTCCATCCAACCAAACAGAAAAATGGATCGTCCCATCCATCCAACCAAACGTGCATCATGAATATCCTTATCCCAATATCCATGGATCGTTATATCACATCCAACTTGGTCCTCGAACCAATTTGTGTAAATGATTTTAGACCCATTTCCTTACTCAACTCTTCTATCAAAATCATCACCTAGCATGCATTCATGATATATATAGAGATAGCAAAGTTTCAGTCTCAAGCTAGAACTACACAATCCTAATTGACACCCTTGTTCAACTTATTATTAGATGAGACACATTTAATTAGACCGCTATCATGTCATATTTTCTTCTATGTCAAGAGCTAATATGTTACACTGGCCACCTATGCCCTTGGCCTTGGCTTTGGTGCGTCACCATCATAAGCTTGGATAGGCTCTTACCATTATCTTTGTATCATTCTTCTTAAGCAACATAAACTTGAGCTTATCACTTGAACTATTCCTTCACATAAGAATTGAACTTCATAGCTTCGAGTGACCATTATTCATGATTCAAGAATAACATATGTTTTGGACAAATGATTCTTCATGGTTGCTTGGTTCTTCAATGTTGTGCCAAAGCATGCTCACATATCCATCACATGTGTACCTTGGCGAAAGACCTTTGCTTTCCCTTCCCTACTCGTATGGTTCTTAGTAGCCAAGGGAATGCCAACCCTTCACCTTCTTGCTATCTTAAGTCACATATAGGTCCATATCACAATAAGCATTCATCTGAATTCCACGTCGTCAAGAATTTGATCTTTGCTTCCCTATTGACTTCGTATCAATATAGTGATCAAGCAAGCTCCAGATTGTCTTTCGTTAAGAAAGTTCTTATCTTCTTGAAAGATAGCCCTTTTCTCTTGATCAAATATACCACTTATAATAAAACCAAACAAGAATCCTTCACAATTTCTACTCATGCCACCAGTGGCGGAGCCAGAATCACAATCAAAGGGGGGCCAAATTGGTCAGATTGATTATAGTTTTGTGGTCGA